AATTGGAATAATTTAGAAAAATTCTCAAATAATAAGTCAGTTTCACGATAGTTCTTTTAAAGTAAATTTGTGCATAACATTTAGATATCTACTATTTGTATGTTTCACACCATGCTTTCGATAAACATCGACTTCACATCACTGCGGTTGTTCTGGCTATTTCACACAATTAACAAGAAAATGATACCTTATTCTTTTGCATAATCATGCATTGAATATAAAAATTACATAAACGGATAATCAAACTTGACATTATTTAATAAAAATGTAATTTTTCCAAAATATCGTAAAGAAAAATCGATACATTTTCACACTTGTTCTGCTATATCGTAAACTAAGTCGAAACTACTTAGTAGAAGTCTGAAATGCGACTATGAATAGAGGTAAATTTTAAGTTGGTACTTAAATTTAAGTTGCAACTTTGTTAGTTTCGACTTAGTTGCTGGACTATGAATACGCGCCATTGTGTTTTTGAGTACTAGGGATGTCGGAAAAACATCGATGCATCGAAAATATCGATGTTTTGCTTCGATGCATCGAAAATTTTCCACTCGATGTATAAATAGACGATGTATCGATGCATCGGTGTATCGATGATTTTTGAAAACTGACATATACGGTACATTGAACCGTCATTCCAGTTTTTCAATTGTTCAAAAAAAGAAGTGACTTGGGCCAAAAAATTTAAATGGCTGCAAGAAGTTCCGCTAGAAACAAAATTAGCTCAGTTGCAGTAATTTATTTCAAATTTTCTACAATTATGCTAATAACATATTTTGTTGTGAGACATTATCTGAAACATCCTATGCAAATCGATGCATCGATGTATGCCCTTCGATGCATCGAAAAATATCGATGTACATTTCGTTGCATCGAATCAAAGAAAAACATCGATGTATTTTTGCCACTGACATTTCTATTGAGTACTCCTCGGTAGGAATGTTCGATATTTAAGAAAGTATCGATATCATGAATCGATTTAATTCATTGCTGGGCTGAACAATATCGATGTTGAAAATCCTACTCCCAATTGAATAGAATATTAGATCTGCCTGTCAACTCAACTAATAGCTGAAATACAATGCCGGCGAACGGCGAACTCACCACAGCGAAATTCGCGCTGTCAAAATTAGAACACCCGCAAACATATGAAATTGAACACAGCCAAAGCGAAATGCGAAGTTCGCTTGGCGGCGTTTTATTGCGATATATTTATTTCTACCGCCCTGCTGGGCGATGACAGCTGTGCGTGCCAAAGGTGGCCGTATTTCTTTTTTGCTTTCAAAGTTTTAAAAGAAAACAACCTAAACACGATTTTTTTTTTTTGTTTGAAAAATATAGTTGTGGATTCGTTAAATATGGCTTGAAACAAATTATTTATAATAATCTTTCTTTGTTTTACATTTATATTTGCTATCATTTCCTCATTTCTAAATATGGTTTAGTTTTTTCTAAATATGGTCACCCGAATTATAATGGGATCAGCTGTTTTCGCTACCGCTCTAATTCTGTTTAAGTAGGCGAAATAGCAGGGCGAACGGTGAACGACAGCATCGCCCAATTCGGCGAAGTTTGCCGTTCGCCGGTATTGTATTTCAAGCATGATTGTGTTATTTTCATCTTGTATATTTACTGAGGATTAAAACGGCATGCCGGTCGACTAAAGCGGTTTGTCAAACTTAAGAGCCAAATTAATCACACAAGCTGCTGATCAAACCTACTTTAGTATTTTCCCATACACTTTTTTGTAGATCAAAAAT